GCCAGATGGGCTCCGCAGCCAAAGCCCCCACACCCAGCATTGCCCCGTCGGGCAGCGCAGGGTATTCGGGGTGGAGCGGGTGCCCATGGGGTCCCTGCCATGCCGCGGTCAAGCCAAAGGGTTTGGGATGCTGCTGGACCGGTCCCTGCAAGCCCCGTCCACCAGCAAGGGTGGGAGCATCCCTTTCTGAGCTTTCCCACTGCGAGGACCTCCCCCGCACCCCCAAATCCCATAGGAAACGGCCTCGGCAGTGGCTGGCTCCATCCCAGCTCCACGCCAGGGATCTGGCCTCCCGCGCTCTTTCCTGGCCCTGTCCCAGCGCTGAGGGATGAGCCCGAAATAACCCCTCCGGATGCCGGGCACGAGGAAACGCTGAAATTGCTGCCGTTGCCAGCCAGGGGTGCGAGGAGGGTTTACAGCATGGGAAACCCAATTAACTTGGCTCCATTAGCTGATTGAGCTGGCTGATAAGAGCATGATTAATTAAAAGGATGAAGAATAAGTTACCGAGTCCTCGCTGCCGTCGGGGTGCGGCGATGGCTTAACCCATGCAATTGGCTTCTCCTGTTAATACCTGGTGCCCGGCTACCGCCGGCTGTCAATCCTTCATGGCATCGCTTGATGGCGGGGAGAAACATCCTTGTACCAACACCAGGTTCGCTCCCTGCTCCCTCTCCCATCCAGCTTCCAGGGACGGGGGAAAAAAAAAATCAAGGGGAAAATATGATTCCTCTGGATGGGTGACACAGGAAAGCACCTTTTTGATGAACCGCGCTTTTCTCGCCAGGTCTCGGTTTGGCTTTGGAAGCCAAGTAATGCAGAAGGACGGGAGTATCGTCCCTTCCCGCGCTGCCCCCGGCAGATTCCCGCTCGCCGTCCCCCCGCGGAGCAGCAAGCTAACGTGAGCTGACGGCCCCGGCGGAGGCGAGCGGGCGTGCTCTTCGGCACGCTCCCCGGCTAAAGCAGCGCCTCGGGGGAGAGAGGGGAAAAAAAGGGGGGGCTCCCACCTCGGGCAGCCGCTCGGGCCACGGAAAAAAGCAAATCTGAGTGGTTTTATGAATTTTTGTAGTAATCCCACTTGCTGAGCCCCGGCCTGAAACCGCCGGGTAAGGCAAATCACCGCTTTCTGCCTGGGGCTGAGGGAGGCGGGAGAAGACTCAACTCGCGTCCGCTCCATTCCCTGTTGAAAAAAAACAACCCCTAAATCTCATTTTTTCCACCCATGACAGCAGGAGGGGTGCCGGTTCGGGGCGAGGGCTCCCTACACGCTTCCCCCTCCGCCACCTGCAAAAGCCGGGCAGTGCTCCGGCACCCGGTCAATGGTTCGGCGGTGGCAGAGGTGATTGTCCCTGCACGGGGGCCATGGGACGGGTGGCACCTGGACACCCCAGGGGCGCATTTCCCGGGGACTCCCGGCAGAATTTTCAGCTCCAGCGTTCCCGGGAGGAGCCGCAGCCGGTGCGGGCAACGCTGCCTCTGCTCGCCTTCTCTCCCTGCCCAGGCAGGGTGACATCCCGGTGACGGCTCCTTCCCGCGCCCACCCTGTCATTTACTGGCAAGGAAATTGGTGCCAACAACCACAGGATACCTTAGAAATGAGCAAACAAAGCCGATGAGACCTAAAAAAGCCGGGCGGGGATGTGTCCGGTGGCGTTACGGCCGATGGGGAAGGGGGAGGCATCCTCCAGGCCCCAGGGCTGTCGCATCGCTCCAGCATTCATCCCAAAATTAAAGATTATATGAGCGGAGAAATCATCCAACTGTAAAAGCAGTGGAGCGATTTGCCGGGACCTTTTAATAGCCTCCCTTTTTTATCTCTTGCAATCAAAGTGAAACTCGTGTTTGATGAGCGCGTGGTCTTCAGGAGGCGATTAAGGAGACCAGGGGATGAATTTGGGAACTGGAGGGTATTTCAGGGTATCGCTGAGTGGCCGGACTTGCTTACCACGGCAGAAATCCCGAAATCCCCTGTTATTTTGAGAAGGAAACATCAAAACCTGGTGCAAAGAGCCCCCGCGATGCCCCCGGCCGGTGGGGTTTTATTTGGCGGAGGCAGGTTGGGTTTGACTTCGGGAGCTGGCAGGGAGGGAATGGTTAACGCTGGGATACTATGGATGCTGGGGTCTATAAGGACCAGCGCAGATGGAAATAGCTGCCAGCCCCTGCTAGGAAAGTGATGACTCAAATAAGCTGCTGGTATTTAAGGATGCTTTAACGCGCGTGAGCTGGGCTGGAGGATGTTTTTTCCCCCCACCTGCGGTCGGGGGCAGCTCTGGGAGGCCCTGGGACGGGGCCGTACAAACCGGGCTCCAGATGCCGGTGGGGCCGGGATGCGGCAGGCAGGACCCGGGCTGGGCTGGGGAGCCGGAAAGGGATTTTCCCCCTTTCACCGGGAACAAAAATACCACGAGCACGTGATAGCCGATTTCCTTTTAGCCTTTAAAAAGCCCCGTGGGACGGAGAGTGGCGGCTGCAGGGGAAGGGGGATTGGCCCATCCTGCTTGGCGTCCCCGCCACGTCGCAGCTAAAAAGAGCCCAAAATCGCCTTTTACCTCCAAAACCTTCCAGCGTTGTGCATCTGGGGAGGGGTTATAGCTTTTTACTGGCTTTATCCCAAACTCCCCTAGATGTGAACCCTCCCTTTAACAACCACCCCTGCTTTTTCCGCTGGCAGCAACCCAAGAAACTCGTCGCAGTCGCTCGCCGTCCGTGCATGTGCCGCGTAGGTGTATTAAACCCCCCACCCCCCCCTCCCACCCCCCAGCCGGGGAAAAGACTTGGACAACGGTCACGCCTGGGACGTGCACCCATTTTCTGGCTCTTTCCTTTAAAGGCCGGGGCCG